CCCCCAGTAACCAAACAACCCCAAATGGACCACTGACGCCACTACCAACAACAAAATCGCCCCCAGATCCGCCGCCGATCCACCATGACCAAAAAAAAAAAAGAATAAAAGAAGATCTGCACGCAACCAACACCCAACAGATCGCAGCCTCACCGCACCTAACCACACCCAATCGCACACAGATCGCAGCCCCAACCGCATTCAACCGCACCTAACCACACCCAACAGCACCAACCGCACACAGATCGCAGCCACGAAAAACGAATCCGACTCATCCAACTCAACCATCCGGTCGAAAAAAAAAGGGAACGGACAAATCGGTAGGCATTCGATGGTTGGGAACGACAGCAACACCGCCCATGACGACAGCGACACCTTCACCTTCGTGGTTTGACAGTGAGACGGATGGTGCGGCTGAGGTTTGGGAGTAGGGAACGAACGGTGGCAGTGGCGGTGACGAGGGTGGAGGCGACTGAATCGCCGTGTGGGGAGAAACAGCGACACCTTCACCTTCATGGTTTGACAATCAGACGGACGGTGCGGTTGAGTTTGGGAGTAGGGGACGGACGGTGCGGCTGAGTTTGGCTGGCGGTGGAGGCAACGGAATCACCGTGTGGGGAAGAAGATGGAGAGACGGTGAGAGAGTGATTTGAATAAGTTTTAGGGTTTGATTATTATAAAATAAAAATAAAAATAAAAATTGTTTTTGAATTATTAATTAAAACTTGATTTTTGTAGTATGAATCTTGATTCATGATTTTTGAAAATGGTATTTTAAATTCAGGTCTATGTGTAATTTCCTCAACAAATAATTCTGAGGGTATTATGGGAAACTTAGTAATTAATAGAGTCAAGGTAGGGCCAGCTCAATTGCATTTGTCCATTTCTTCTCGAATTTAAAGTCACAAGCCACGTGGCCCCACAAAGCCTTTACACGTGGCAATACATTACCCCACAGGCCCAAAATTTATAGAATAGAATAAGATAAGGGTACCGACATTTACATCCACATTTTTTATATATTCATCCCTCTATATCCATCACTATTAAAATTTTAAAAAATTCATATTTCATTTACGTCAAATTTCAATATTGTCATTATTAAATTCATTCATTTAAACATTATAAATCCACACAAATTTTATATATTCATCTTACTTTAAATACAAGCCTAATACAATTCTAAACTTTTAAAAAAATTATTATATTCATCAAATCACTATCAACGTCTAATTACTTTTCCTTTTCTAAATTGTCGTGTCAGTACTTTAATATTTCGATGCAAATGTTAGCGAATCTCTTTTCTTGAATATATTAAATTCTCTCTAGAGTACTACTGTTCACGCAACCAAACAAATCTCTCTTCAAATCATATGTTAACTAATTTTTTTTTTTTTTGCTTATAAGTTAATAATTTTGGCGGTTTGCCTTTTTTTTTATAATTTTAATTTTTTTTTCTTTTTATAATGTAAGAATATTTGGATACATGTTGAAATTTATTTTGAAATTTATCGTATACTTTCATCTGTCAAACTAATACTTAAAACAAAACATAAAAGATAAGATTTCATTTTCCATATCATTAAAGAATTATAACTAAAATAATGTGTTGATTTTTTTTTTTTTAAAATTTTAGTTGAAGAGGGTATTTTTTCATTAGTAGGGTTTTATGATTTTAGTTGAAGATTATATTTTATCATTACTAGAATTCTAGTTAAATACAAATTCTAAACGAATATTATAAGGTTCAAAAGAATTTATTTAAATAAAAATTAACTGATGAATTTAGAACGATATATTTTTATTTAATTTTTTTATATGTCTATTTATGTAAATTTACATAAAATTAAAAACTGTGGAGGTAAATAGTGGTACCCAAAAATAATACAAGTACTGAAGTACATTTATGTGAACTCTCTAGTATGAAATTTGGCTGTAACAATGAAAGATTAAATGTGTTCATGAATTATGCATCCACAGATTGAAAAAATAATAAACGAACCATTGAATGTTATATTCCGACTGCATCAAGAAGCTCCGAGTGTTGAGACACAGAAACTAGTGAATTAGCCACAATGGCACCACTGGCAGCAACAGCAGGGACACCGATGCCGGGGAATGTTGAATCGCCGCAGCAATAGAATTGTGCGATTGGAGTTGAATGTCCAGGAAACGAGTCTTTACCCGCTTTTATAGCAGGACCATAAGTTCCTCGATTCCTTCGAAGAAATCTTTGATGCGTCAATGGTGTCCCGACTAACTTGACCTCACACTTGCCACGGTCGAAACCTGGACCAAGTGCACGCTCTACAGCCTTCCACATTACCTGTTGTTAACAGGAATTAAAGAACGTTTTTAATTCAAAAGAAATGTATGGAGTAAAAGTATAAGATCGTCTCGGAATACTTGTACTATATAGTATAGTATAGTCTATTACTGTATGCCAAACGTTCCCCGTGGTAATGAGGATTAGATTAAATCTTTCAAAACTTCGCATTTGAGGGTGCATATGGATGAAATACATCCATCTTGTCGTTAGTTGACCAAAAAGTCAAAATTTGATCAATTGTTACCAAATTAAAAAGGGCAAAATGGTACTTTACATTTTCCACATTAAATCATTAAAATAATTAAATAAAAAATTGAAAAAAAAATCATCATCTCCCATACTTATCTTCTTCCACATTCCCGTCCAAACCCCACATCTATCCTAAAACTAAAATCACTGTTACCCACCGTCATTGCAGCTATCGCTGTCGCAACCACCAAACTTACAACCACTATATTCTCCACTGCCACATGGAACCCAAACTGAAAACCAAATTTGAACCCAAAATCATTGCTCCTTCCCCGTTTAGTTGCGACTCTCCATCGTGCCATTGGTCGAAAATCACCTAATCTGACACATACAAAATCTGGAAGCGCTATGGCAACCCCGGCAATACCTCTCACTGGCTACGATGGCCTCAAAATTCAATATGCCAACCAAAGCTTCCTCTTTCTCAATGACATCGATTCCACTCTCGAGATTCCCTTCGCTCCCTTCTGGAAAGGAACCACGATGACAATTTTCTCTATTTTAAAGTAATTTAGGATTTTCATTTGTTTTGTTAATGTGGTAAATGGGTTAAAGGAAGAGTTGTGGTGGTAGGTGGAGTTGGCGATGTCGGTATAGTCGGTGCTGTGGTAAATCGGATTTGATTTGTGTTATTAAAGTGGTAAATGGAACCACTATCTAGATTCGAAGTGAGATCAAGAGGAGTAGTGAAAGAAATTTGGAAAGCGGTCAAAATTGCTTCCTTGATTGAACAGTGGTGAAGAAATTGGAAATGGAAGCAATTAAATTGCTTCATCGATTAAACGGCAATGAAGAAATTGGAAAGGGAAGACGTCTGGGAGTTGTGGTGGCAGCGGGACGTTTTTCTGGTTTTGATTCGGTGGGGCAGGTGAAATGGAAAAGAAGGTTGGTTTATATTTAATTATTTAATGTGAAAAATGTAAAGTACCATTTTGCCATTTTTAATTTGGTCAAAATTGATAAAAATCTTGACTTTTTTTGTCAACTACCGGCTAGATGGATGGTTTCCATCCATTTGGACATCATGTGCGATTTTTGAAAGGTTTAAAATTGTGGTTGACACAAAGTGAAGGTCAGAGTAAAGTCGCAAAAAGTTGAAAGCTTATGGACCGCTGCTGCAATTATCCCTAAATTATATGCTATCTTTTTGGAATAATGAAAAACCAACTAAAACAAAAGAGTAAATTAGGATTGGCCATCCCAATCTTCCATGTAGTATGGTTATAGGTACACAACCTTCAAAAGTGAAGTTTTAAATCACCACTGATTTCAATATGTAAAATCGGGTCCACCTGTGATTATAATCGTCTATTTGAAGTTGAACGGTAAAATTACACACGACCTTCAGTTTAAGTAGAGACGAATGTCAAATGCTTCAATGATTTTGCTCTCTAGTTGTGAATTGTGTTAAAACCTTGTGTGATTTTAACGTCTAGTCATCTATTGTGATGATTTTAGTTACGTTAGGAACCAGGTCCACACATTTAGGTTGTGCATCCAAAACCTTACTTTTAAATATGAAGGGGCCATGGTCATACCACGCGGAAAGTTGGGGACCAAGCCTTAATTTTTCCAAAACAGAACTTAAAAGTTGACCCAATTAAAGAAGGGGAAGATTACATATTTAAGAGTATAAGTTTAGTCTATTTCAAAAATAAGAACACAAGTTTAAAATTACAAAAATCAGATTTTTATTAGATTTTTTAAAACTTTTATTTATGAAATAATAAATTATTAAATTAATTTATTATTAAATATTTAATTATAATATAATATAATTAACCCATCCCACCTTCACCACCCCTACCGCTCCGGCGACCGTTCCGATCATCACCCTACTCCGACGAACTTTCCG